CTGAAATGAGGGGCGATGAGGTCGTAAACCTTGTGCACGTGCTCGCGCTCGAGCTCCGTCGGAGCCAACGGGCTGCAGGACGAAGCAGCAGCAGTTACGCTGACCATCGAATTAGAAATGGCTACGTTTCAAATGTTATTATCCCTCGTTACAGTGACGTACATGGCTACATCGTCTTCAAGTTGCCTTTTTCACTCTTTGCGTAGATCTGAGGCGTGCAAGGGTGGAGCTGGTGGGGCTGGAAGCTCTCGAAGCTCACTTCTGGAGATCCGAACTACTTTCGCTCCATTTCGCTCTCCACTGGTTCTGACGACGCTGCCTCGACTCTGAGAAGCTCGAAGATAGACTTTGGCAGTGGCCAGATCCTTCATTAAACTGTCATTGGCGTCCTCCAGTTGCTGAATCCGACGCTCCAGTTGTCGCTCTCGTTCAACGTCGGAAGATCCGTCATCAGTCCGCCGTTGCTGTTCACTTGAGGACCGGATAAGCTGCTGTAGTTGGGCCTGCATCTGCTTGGCCTTGGACTTGTAAAACACCAGATGCTTCTCCAAATCGGCGATGTACTCGTCCTTCTTCTGACAGCGAACAATCAGCTTCTGCCACTCCTCGTCCTTGTGTGCGTCGCTAGTTTCACCATCTTCGTTGTTATTAGAAGGCACTAGAACCTTGGGCTGCATCTTCTTAAGCTGCTCCATGGCCTCAGCACTCGCTTGCTGGTGAGCTGCAAGACGACGGTCAAACTCATCCCGAGCCACTGCCAAACCACTTTCCAGCTGACTGAGAGCTTCATCACGCTCATTGAGTAGCCCTTGCAGCTCCTGAACTTCGATCCCCATCTCGCTCACGCGCATTCGAAGTCGCGCTACCTCGTCCAGACATTTACCCATGACAGAAGCTGCAGCTCCTGCAGCGTCAGTACTACCGAGTCCAAGATGTTGAACAAGACCGCTCGCTAGACCACCAAGAGGTGACTTTGCGTCTGTGCTATCGGAGCGATGTTTCATTGCCAATAGATCATTCCGTGCAGCTCTCAGCTCGGCGTCCTGGAACGCGATGTGCGAGTCCAAGTCGACGATCAACTCCTCGAGATCCTGAAGCTCCTGTTGAGCCTCACTGTCCAGGAAATCTGCCTTCGCTTCTTGCTTACGCAGCCCTTTGAGCTTCTGCTCTGCACGTAGACGTAGTTTCTTCAAACGCTCTAGTTCTTCCAGAGACTTCGACTCTGCCTGCATTCGCTCATCTAGAACATGCAGAGACTTGGATAAATCTGAGATACTCTCACGCACTCCCAAGCTCTGGCGCATTTTCTGCATCTCGAGCGCATTGATACGTCGAGCTGCTTCACTTCTGCTCTGTTCAGCCTCTTTCTTGCCCTTGAGCAATTGAACCACTTCACGTCGAGTCGCATGATACTCGATGAGTTGCTTGACGCTGCTTTCAAAGACAGCTAACATGGCTTCCTTGTCGACTGGTCTGCTAGCAATTGTAGGTCGTTCGGACTTGTTTGGAGCGGTTGTATCCGGCCGGTCTTCATTCGTTGTCGCTTTTGCACTTGGACTGGGGTGAGTGTTTGTCTCCTTGGCTTCGCTGCAATTGCTATCAAGCACCGAGTCTTCGAGGATCTGGTTGTCTCGTTTTAACGCCTCGATCGAGTGTTCAGCCTCACTAAGTTGACGCTCGTAGTTCTGCCGTTCCAGTGCCCACCGCCGGGTAGATTCTTCACGGGCGTCCAGTAGTTCCTCCTTTAAAACACACAAAAACTACAGTGTAAGAGATCAATGCAAGTGATAGTCAATCCAGCGAACGCACCGTACATTCTTCTTCTGCAACTCCTC